CTGTACAAGCTGGACCCCGTAATCGACGACGGCCTCCTGCGAGTACGAGGACGCATTGGAGCCTCAAGTGCGCCCTCCGACGCAAAACGACCTATCATCCTAGACGGTCGTCACCCCATCACGCGACTCATCGTATTGCGAGAACACGCCGCAGCAGGACACGCTAACAGAGAGCGAGTAACGAACGATCTACGACAGCGATACTGGATCATACGGCTACGACCCACCGTACGCGCCGTCGAGTATAGCTGCGCCCTCTGCCGGGTCACAAGGTCTAGGCCCAGAGCACCAGCCACAGGAGACCTGCCACGCGCCCGCCTCGATCCATTCCACCGCCCCTTCACGAACTGCGGGGTAGACTACTTCGGGCCCATTACTGTAAAAGTGGGACGCCGCCGAGAGAAAAGGTGGGGCGCACTATTTACCTGCCTCACCACACGAGCCGTTCACCTCGAGCTTGTCGCTTCTCTCTCTACGGATTCGGCACTAATGGCGTTGAGACGAATGGCAGCACGCCGCGGATGGCCGCGACTGATGTACTCAGACAACGCAACCAACTTCCGCGGCGCCGATCAAGAACTGAAAGCCGCATACGCCGAATGGGGGTGCCCATAAGAGAGCCCTAAGAGACGAAGGACTGACCCGGCGTATGGAATGGCGCTACATAGCACCTGGTGCCCCAAACCAAGGAGGCGCATGGGAACGCATGGTGCGCTCTGTCAAGACAGCGCTACAAGCAACGCCTCGAGAAAAGGCACCATCAGACGAAGTGCTAAGAACCCTCCTGACCGAAGCCGAGTATTCGATCAATGCTCGGCCCCTAACGCACGTGAGTGTGGACCCTCGCGACCTCGAGGCCCTCACGCCGAACCATTTTTTGCTGGGATCTTCAACGGGTCTACCGAGAACAGGACCCTGTGACGAAGCCGACCGACGAACCTGGCGGACTAGCCAAGCACTCGCAGACCAATTCTGGAGACGCTGGGTACGGGAGTACTTGCCGACCCTAGTACCGCGAGGAGAACCAGCCAGAAAGAACGACACGTCAAAACTACAAGTCGGCGACATAGTGGTTGTCGTCGACAGCACGCTACCGAGGAACGTATGGCCAATGGGAAGGGTAGAACGTACGTACCCTGGGCCTGACGGCAGCGTACGAGTCGCCGATGTCAGAACGAAGACCGGCGTCTTCAAAAGGCCAACATCGAAGCTCGTCGTCCTACTAAAGGAAGAGGAGGCTACGCAAAGCTGCGCCGGGGGGAGAGATGTTACGGACACCGAGCTACATACTCAGCGCCCCGCGCCCCAAACGAGACCGCGTCGCCGCTCCCCGCACCCCGCATCCCGCTCACAGCGTCGTACGGAGTCGCCGCCGCCCCGCACTCCGCGCCGACCGCCTACTCGCCAACCACTGTACTAAATGAGAGAACTCCCCGCGCCCCGCACTCCGCGCCGACCGCCTACTCGCCAACCACTGTACTAAATGAGAGACTTAACTTGGTATATGAGTAGGAACATTTTTGGTAATAAACACGTATTGAATCCACTTTAATCAAGAGTTTCATTTGCGATCCAGATCAAGAACCTGAACAATACAGTCCACCGAACAAGAGCTAGAACACCAACAGATTCTAATCAAAAAAGACCTTGCAATATTGTGTTTCAGATAAGTAAGTTTATTTTTAAAATGCGAGTTTTATTTTTTTTATAACATTATTATTTACATTGACGAATTAGTTTGATCAGGAAACTTAACACTTTCATCATCATGGTCATCAAGCAGCCTCTACTCCGTCCATCTTCGGATATAGGCCTACTTCAAATCTCTCCATTTACGTAGCTCTCGTGCCATGCATGTAGCCAGTTGCGACTCCATGATCTTCTTCGTCCTGCGATTTGGATCCATCCTAGCTGTGTCCTGCCCAATTCCATTTCATCGTATCAATTTTGCGTCAACAACGTTCCCAAATTTGGCTATACGTCGAATACGCTCATGTTATTCCTAACATTGCTCTTTCCATTGCCCTTTGTGCGCTTCGTAAGTTCTCTGCGGACTTATTCGTCAGAGTCGTTGTTTCCATGCCATAGGTGAGTAGTAGCCTCTGCGGTATGCGTTTGCATCGCAATATTTGCTGGTTGGCCCCAAAAACTGACCAAGCCTGTGCTATGCGCCTATCGATCTCCGGTATTTGATTTAGTAGGCCCAAAATAATTTTGTGTCCTAGATAAATGTAATGGTCAACAACATCAACAGGCATCTGTTGAAATCTTACCCCTGGAATGTTGGACCCACTTGTGCGGACTCTTTCAGCAGGTCTGCTGTCATAGTAAAATGCTTTAGCAAGTTGTAAAAAATGAAATTGTTGAGTATTGAACTGAGCAACGCTTACAACTTAAAAGTGTAAGCGTACTTGTGTGCTTGAACGAAGCACGTTTGTGTTTAAACGAAAAACACTTTAAAAAGCGAACGTGTTAAAGTGCATTTAGTTTAAACGCCCACCTCTACTTAGGATGTAAGTAGCTAGAATTTAAACAGCTATAGACGTGCAAAATATAGCCGAAAATGAATTCATGTGTTATAGAAAGTATATTGGGTTTAATAAAATTTAATATTGGTGTTACAACGAAATGCAAACACCAGCTCAAACTTGCCCGACCATTTTTGTCTTGCCGTACACACTTAAAAATCGTATCTCTATTCACTCACTACACGTAGCCAACATTCCCCACGAATCATTAAATACCTTACATATTTGAACATAACTAATTTGTGAGATTGAACATTTCAATTCCAGGTATGAAACGTTAAAAATACGTTGTCCTAAAAAAATACTAAGCATGAAGTTACAATAGTTAATCAGCGGAGAGACGATACATTACAACATAACCTGATACGTTTTCCTCTTCGCGTACGTAACAAATACGATGCTGAACGCAGCGGTAGCGTCTTCCAATAACAGGATTGTCTTATACATTTTCAAACATCCGCATATCATTATACTGACATTTTAAAACGGGAATAAACGCAAATAAACAAATTTAATAGGTATTTGCACACCTACCTATTCTTTCGACGTTTAAACCAGGTTGCACTGGTCTTGGTCAGAGATGCGGCTTGTCCCATCAAGCAGCGTGTCCATGTTATCCATTTTGTTGTCTATTCTTTGTTCAAATAGTATGGCAGATATGTAGATATTCATCATGATCAACCCATTATACGTCCCACTGTTGAACACCGATCAGCAATAAGGAGAGATTAAAATTAGCGAAATTTCCTCGACATGCAAGTTTCATCACGATATCTTCCTTCGCAAGAGATATATTCTTATATAAAGACATTTTAGATAAAAATTATTAATTTTTTTTTCAAGATTTTTCCAAATGCATCATAAACTTAATTTTTAAGTTCTATGATTTTAAGGCATGGACGGATTGTGTCTACTAAAATGGAATCAATATTCCTTTATATTTCAACGCTCTGGCAATATTGTTGTCTCATTTATTTACCAAATGTATTTGCCAAACTAGCACTTATATTAAGGGTCCGCAATTACGCAGCTTCATAACTATGCACGTATGTGATGAATTGCGTTCGTGACAAAGTGTGTGCGTGACGAACAGAGTACGTGACGTACTGTGTGCGTAACGAACTATGTACGTGAAGCAAAATGTGTCATCAATGAAATAGTTTTCAGCTTAAGTTTGGAAACAGATAAAGTCAAAGTCAAATAATCTTTATTTCATAGGTAAGCAAATTACACTTGAAATTGTTATACTCATTAAATTCTACAGCTCGTTCGTAAGGCGGATTCCCCTGAGAAGAATGAGCAAGAAACTCTAGGGGTTGCTCTTTGTGAATATACATTTGAATACATTTATCATTACAATATTTAATTTAAATATCTTAGATCGAATAGGTATTCTCGATCTAAGATATTTCAATTAAATTCTTTCAGTTGAAAGAGCTAAACGGGTCACTACCACGGATTTTTGTCATCCAAGTACACAGAAGTTGTATAATAACCTTTAGTATAAAGTTTTATTGTTTTTAATTTATTTATTGTTATTAAATTTTGTTTCACAATAGTTCTAAAACTCATAAATGGCAAATTTTGAATATCAATTGGAATCTTAAATTAATTTTTCATAAAAACAAATAATATTATTCTTTTTTTGATGTTAGTGTAAGAATGTTAATCTCTTTAAACTTATCTCTCAAAGACACTCTGGGGCCCAGATTGTAAATTGCCCTGACCGCACGTTTATACAGGACGATGATTCTATTAATATCGGCAGCATTATTCCAAAGCAAAATGCTGTATGTCATTAAACTATGAAAGTAGCTGAAGTAAACCAATCTAACTGGAGCGGCTGGGGAGGTTTTGCAACCTATTAAATAACGCACACACACACTCAACATAGCCCCGCACTAGGGAAACCCTGTGTCGCGGGTGCCATGGACACACATAGACAACCACAAATTACACCCAAACTCACGAGAGAAATAAATGTAGGCCATACAAATATTTCTCCCGGCCGGGGAATCGAATCTTGGAACTCTGCGTGGCAGTCCGGCATGGTAGCCGTTCGGCCACAGAGGCAGTTAAAAATTTGATGGTGGTGTGGACTGTAAAGCGCGGTTCTAGATGAAGGTAAAGAAAGTCGGATTTACGGCTATAGCATCGAGAAAATAAAGAATAAAAAATAGAAAGAAATATTATGAAGAAAAACTGTGCCGTACCTTGAACTTCTCGTTGGGCCGTATACGCTGGAGCTGTACGTCGCCAGGGGAATATTCACACGCAAACAAATCACTTAAAATAATGCGGTTTTTCAACGAAAAAAATGTCCGTCATCCCCAACAGCGTAGCGTTTCGATCCTCTATTTATTTCTTTCTTCTTTTTCTCGAGGTGGTCGCGGCGAGGTTCTCTTGCCATTGCGAGGTTCTCGAGCCAGCAAATACGAAGCCAGCGCACTCTAGTGGCGACCTCTTGTATTCTATCCCCTTCACTCAAAGACATTTTGGCATAGTGCAAAAGGGAAGAGAGAAAGATTCGATGCTATGCCTAACTAATGAAATTAACGTATCACCAAAGAAGCGGATATTGGTTTGAATGCGAAAGTTAACCATAGCCAATAGAAATTATATGGGAAATTTAAAAAATAAAAATAATTCATTTGTAGCGTTACCACTAACTGTTTCGAACTCTGAAAGTTTTCGTTTTTGTTTTATCGCGTACACTGCATAGCTGAGCCGTTTTGATAAGTTATTTATATGTGGACCCCGCTGCAATTTAGCAACTAAAGTTATACTTATAAGAACGCATGTATGTACAAGGTTCAATTTTTCGCTTCTAATTATAAAGCTTGTGTCCGTCTATCTAACATTGGGTAAAGTAAATTTCACATAATTTTGTTATGATTATGAATACAAAGAGCAATAGGGGCTTCGTCGAGCTGCCAAAATTGTTTTAACATTGACTCCAAAGAGTCTCAATCCGAAGAAGAAACAGCGTGCATACAAGTGAGCGACACGCTGTTATTATGTGTGGGTAAAGCGGTTACCGTACCCATAACAACGTAACCAAGTACAGTTTGTATAGCGGGAGGCGATGCAGAATTACCATTTACAATGCGCAGTAACAAAAGAAGCGGGAGTAATTGCGCCCCAATCAAAACGTCAATATGACCGGGAACGTCAAACGAGATATCAGCGAGCGGTAATCCTTGTAAATAAGGCAAAGCGGAAACATCAACAGGCGCGGTAGGCACCTTGTCAGTAATATTATCGACAACGAGCGAAGAAGCGTTATATTTAAACAAGAAGAAAACTGAAAGGTAACAGAGCCCTTAACGGCCTTCTCTGTCCCTCCAATCCCTTTAACTGAGGGACTACAAGCGGAGTTTTTTGTTAAACCCAAACGTTCACAATAATCAACAGTAATGAGATTAGTTTGCGAACCACAATCTAATAAACAATGTAACTATTGTTCCTTATTATCCCGTTATCCCGAATCACAATTGTAGCGGTTGACAACACTGTAGCGGGCGCAGTACATTGCCGGCCACGTACGAGCGTGCTGTGATTAGCAATATTATTATAAAGGTGCGGTCCATGGATGCGTTACGAAGCGGAGCGTCGGCCGAGTGGTCATTATCTATTCGTCTGCGCGTGCGGGACGACGACGACGGCGGCTCATCGTATGAGCGCTGTGCGTCCGAATAATTAACAAATATGCGGAATGAACCAATAACAAATACGCGGGAAGAAGCAATGACGAATAACACGTGAATACCAGCTTAGTAGTATCAGCGTTAAGTATTAACACGTAATACCAGCATGAAAATACCTTCGGGAAAGTATGTGCGAGAATACGTAATATCGTGAATAATATCAGCGTCGCGGGAAAATAACTATA